AGAAATACTGTTACTGATAGACGATAAGAAAACGTTGCTACGGTTAAGTGATAACTACATCCTAAATTAAGTAGACAAATGAGTACACAACGAATGAAGCAGTAAGTTTATTGTAAACAGCAAATATACAAAGCGGGACCAAGCAGGAACGATCAATATGTAAGAAGGCAGGCAGGCAGAGTCCGGCTCACACGTTGCACTACTTGCGAATGCCGTCAAGCCAGCATTCAAACAGTCAGTTAATCGGTTAATCGATTAATCTGGCCACAGCCACGTATGGCAAGCAAATCAGTCAGATTTTGACCACAACATTACCTTTCCTTCCACAAATTAGCGAGAAATAAGTATTTCAGGAAACAAAGGACCAACAAACAGAATGCAATGGTAAATGTTCGTTTGATTTTGGCGATTTTCGCGGTTCTACTCACTGCCCTGGTAACGATTTACTGGAAATCGAACTCTCATTGATCTCCTACGGGCAGTCCATAAATTTACTTCGGTTTCGGTTTTATCAATTCTCCTGTCCGAGCTCGGTGAGATTGTGGGAGACTCACCCTTCAGCAGCGACGTATAGTGTCGTCTTGCATTTACCTTCGAATCATCCACCAACGTATAAGTTCCTGGCATGCAAACATTCAGCACTTTCATGTTTTCGGTGAGTTTGAACTCATCTTTCTTCTTCTTCGATTGGCATACCCGCACATACTGACCTACATTGAGCGGCTCTACAGTGCGATGATATGACGCTTTATACCTGCATCGCCTGTGAATTTCATCCGGTTTTCCGGTTTCTCGTGACGGAACTATCGCGTTCGATTTTGTGCGGACCTGTCTGCCAAGCATCAATTCCACCGGAGTTTTTTGAGTCGCGGAATAAGAAGTTGTTCGGTAGGTACGGCGAGCAATTAAGAGTGCGTCTTCCCATGAGGTTCCTTCCTGTTGGATGGTTTGCATTTATTCCTTTAGGGTTCTATTCAGACGTGCGACCATCCCATTCGCCGCTGGGGTGTACGGAACTGTCCTCGACTGTCTAATATCGTTTACACGAAGTAACTCCTGAAACTCTTTACTTCTAAACAGTGGACCATTGTCGGTCACTATATCCTCTGATGGACCAAATCGTGCAAACAGAGTTTTGAGCCACTTGATAATGACAGAGGAAGTTACTTCGCCACACAGGATAGCCTCCGTCCATTTACTGTAGAAACAAGTGGCCACAATAACAGTTCACTTACCAGTAGAGGATCGTTGGAAGGAACCTATTATATCAATTGCCAACTTTGCCCATGGGCGCATGGGATACACAATTGGTTGTACCGGCACAGAGATTGGCTTCGCTGATTTATCAGTTTTGGCATGCAGAGCAGTTCCTGACTGCTGCTTCAACAGAGGAGTTTAGTTCGGGCCACCAGGAATATTCCCTTACAAGTGCCTTGGTGTGGACTATACTGGGGTGTCTTTCATGTGCACACTGTACGATGGTCGGTATTACACTGCGAGGTACAACGTATCTGTCCCCGTGCATTACAAGGTTGTCGATAGCTTCCAGTTCATCACGCAGAATGTAGTACGGAATGAGCTCCTTTATCTGGCCAGAACGATTGGAGGTACTAAGTAACCTGTGCTAGAACCAAATCCGCTTCTGAATGTTCTTTGAGTAACTGTCTTGTAATCGCACCGCATTGACGGTTTTCTGGTTGAGAAATAATTTTTGTTTCCTCAATCTCTTCACTTAGATCGTTCGCCGGAAGACGTGATAGTGCATCAGCTACTTGATTCTTTGATCCTGGGGTAAATTGTACTTCGAAATAATAATTAAGGAGTCGAGCATACCAGCGGCTGATTCGTAAAGGTCTGTTACCTTTATCGCCACGACTGAGTAAGCTAGTTAGCGCAGAATGATCAGTTCTCAAAGTAAATGGACGACCAAATAAGTACAGATGCCATTTCTCAATTGCCCATACGCATGCTAGCGCTTCCTTCTCGCCCGTGGAATACTTTCTCTCAGTCATCGACAGAGATCTGGACGCATATGCCACAATTTTCTCCACCCTATCGTGAACTTGCAACAGTACGCCTCCCAGACCGACGTTAGAAGCGTCCGTTGACACAATAGTTTGGAGATGCTAATCGAAAATGGCGATCGTCGGCGCTGTAGACACCACAGACGAATCAAGTCAAAAGACTTTTGTTGTTCCGGGCCCCATGCACATTTATCATTTGGCTTCATAAATCTCCTGCGTGGTTCTCAGGCCGTTGCAAAATTCCTTAAGTGACGGAGATATTATGAACATAATCCGAGAAAATGCTTCACTTGATTAGGAGTTTGAGGTTGAGGGCACTTCAGTATCACTTGTACGTTTTCGAATTTCGGGCGGATGCCCTCAGAGGATATTGAGTAGCCAAGGAACTCAATTTCGTGCACCGCACTTCTCTGCGTTTAAGTGGAGGTTTAGGTCATTAAGGCACTGAAGCAGAGCATGTAAATTATTGAGATGTTCTTCTGCTGAGGAACAAAACACGCGAATGTCATCCATATAGGTAATACATCCCCGTACGTCTGCTATAGCCAGTGTCATAAACTTTCGCCAGGCTGCAGGGGCACTGCTCAGACCCATCGGAAGTACTTTACACTGATAGAGTCCTTTTTGGATTAGAAAAGCTGTCAATGGCTTCGAGTCCTCTGTTAAAGCCATGTGGAAATATGCACTGCGCGAATCAAGTTTTGAAAACACTTTCGCTCCAGACATTTTGACAAGCAATTCTTCCGTGGTCGGGAGTGGAAACTTTTCTACGATGATCTGTTTATTCAGCGTCCTCAGGTCCGTACATATTCGGATATTACCATTCTTCTTTGATACCGCAACAAGGGGGTGGACCTATTCGGAACATTGTATGGGTTCAATCAAACCCTCTTGAACCATTGTTTGAAGCGCCTCGGAACCAGCTTCTCGTTTGGAAAGGGGAACTGGTCGTGGATGCGAAATAGCAGAGGGAACAGCGTTGTGCTGAAGAACAACGCGATGTTTTACTCTAGGAATGCGACCAGTGTCAGTTTCAAACAACTTTGGGAACAAGGATTTGTAATCAGGAATTTGAATTACGGAGATGCGCATTCGGTCTAAACAGGGAGACACCTTTAAATCAACCATAGCGTTTGATAGCGTTTATACCAAAGAGTGGATTGTTGTTCTGACATGACACATAAACTGCCACATATTTTTGAAAGGAACTGTCCAGGAAAGATTTCACAAAAACAAAGCCCAATATAGGTACATGTTTGTTTGAATAACTTCCAAAACTATAGGAGAGTTGTTTCAAGGGCATAGAACGAAGATGTTTCAAATAGAAGCTATGTGGGATAATTGATATGGGTGATGCTGAGTCAAACTTTATTCTTAATGGAACGATGCTGTTGCGCACAACAAATTACACAGTACGTGTGTCTGCTGACAGCAGTTTAGGTTCCAATGAAGTAGAGTTAGTTCTAGTACAATCAATGTTACAGATTCTATCAGAGGAATCGGGCTTGTATTCAACCTGAGAAACAATACGTGCTCTGCAGACTCGGGCAAATTGACCAGACTTACCGCAAACGTGGCACGTGCAGGAATGCCCTGGGCAACGCTTCGAATTCGCTAGATGTTTCTGACAGCCACAACGGCAGCATGATGTTATTTGGTGCGGCTTCAGGAAACAATGTGATGGCGTGAGATGAGCTATTTCTTCTGTTGATCGGTCCTGGTTAAAAGTTTGGTTATTATCGCGAACTCCTATTTTTGCCCTGGCAAAATCGCACACCCTGTCCCACGTCAGTTTGCTGGCGTCCTCAACTGGTAGAGTTTCTACGAAATTCCGGTGATTTGAAGGGTCGTCGAGTACGACCGAGCGTGACGCGCTTCAGAACGGGCACCCCGAGCTCGCAACACAATCAAGTTACAGCTGGTTAAACCAGAAGACTTGTGGTTGTAGACGTTTAGTGAGGCGCCGTGGAACGGAGAAAGTACCGATACCGGCTAACGAACGTTTGCATTAAAGCACTAAGGTGAGAGAACCAACGAGCGCGATAACGAACAAAACCGAGCGAAAGCGAAAAGTGAAAGTTCCCTTCGTGGAAGGATACAGCAGTTTTCAATCGCATAGAACAAACGTCACATGACGTTGGTACTAAAGTAAAAATGTGAACGTACATCCAGATTGTAGATAAAAGGTGGTGTCCGGCGAATGTCAGTTATTGTCCGGCTTTTACCTTACAATCGGCTACGCTACAGCAGCTCCCCGCTAGAAAGTCTGAAATAACTTATCTACGATGGAAGCCACCCTATAGAGCGAAGTGTCTTCTAGGAATGCTGTTACCGTGGTCTGGATATGGACCGGTAAAGACTGAATCCATGCCTCCCTAACGATGTCCGAATGGGCAACGTGAGGTCCGGCGAGGGATCTCAGGTGAGCCAGATGCTGGTTGGGCTTGACGTCACCCATTGGGTGGCGTGCCAATAGCTTTCGCAGCCTTTCCTCCTTAGATGGAAGGAGAGCATCAAGGATGGCTGATTTCAATTTGTCAAAAGGTTACTCCTGAGGGGGAATCAAAACTAAATCCCGCTAAAAAAACAGCTGGTCTCCCGGGATGGCTTCCAGTGCCAACGCGAACATTGTGCGTTGGTTCTTAACATTGCTATGAGCAAACTGCAGCTCTAACGCTGCTAACAAAACCTGGGGGTCATGAGGGCCGAAAGGGATTGGGAGAAACGCCACCGTATTAAGGGTTACGTCTGGGCTAGTTGAACGTGTCTTACTGTCAGATGACATGAAGTTGCGATAATATATTCAATGTGAATATATATCGTAACTCATATCATAACTTGTGTAAAGGCAGATATTCAATGTTCCGTCGCTGAACTTGTCTTCGGCACGACATTGCGACTGCTTGGGAATTCTTTACACCACGAAGTAGTGTCAACATAGGCATACCGACATACGTTCAACGTTTGTCCACCTTCATGCAGCCACTGTCTCCGGCGCAAACACAAATGCAACAGCGGCAGGTGTTTGTGCCCCCCCCTCCGAATTATCATCCTGCTCGCATGTATTCGTACGAGTTGATCCGGTACGTAAACCTCTACAACAGCCTTATGAATTCTGGTTCCACATATGCCGCCACCGGCTCAACAGGTTATCCCGGAATCCAACGGTATGCCCTTTCAACCACGTGTGATTTCGGTTACCTCAGTCAACAATGTATGTACTCTGGATCGGGCGTAGCACGCCAACTGGTCAACCCAAAACGCAATCCTCGCTGGTATCCCGTTCCGATCCCAATCACGGCAACGCATCTACCTTACTCCACTGTTCCACTGCCTTCGATGCTGCCCCGACCGCGAACATTACGTATCTACTACGAACTTTTATGAACATCGTGCACCTCAGCACAGCACCATCTTTGTGTTGCCAACCGAAAGTTATTTCAGACTTTCTAGCGGGGAGCTGCTGTAGCGTAGCCGATTGTAAGGTAAAAGCCGGACAATAACTGACATTCGCCGGACACCACCTTTTATCTACAATCTGGATGTACGTTCACATTTTTACTTTAGTACCAACGTCATGTGACGTTTGTTCTATGCGATTGAAAACTGCTGTATCCTTCCACGAAGGGAACTTTCACTTTTCGCTTTCGCTCGGTTTTGTTCGTTATCGCGCTCGTTGGTTCTCTCACCTTAGTGCTTTAATGCAAACGTTCGTTAGTCAGTACCGCTTTGAGGTTTCAGTACTTGATGTACCAAACTCAAATCCTCTCGAATTCAGTGATGCTGACTGAACTACAATCCCAGTGATTTCTCTCTTTCCACATAGATACTAGGGAGTGCAATCTCTTGAACATCTTCGATTCCATTGTTTGTGAACACTCTAAAACGTTAAAATTGCGTTACAAACATACAACTTTGAATTGAAAGAAGTAATTAATGGGTGATTGAAAGTTTGCCATTAGTAAGCATGAGTACAGTATTGACTCAAATCTACCCCAAATACGTTCAGGTAGATCGAAATGCCTTCGAGCACTGAACGATGCTATAGAGCAGTTTATCAAACAGCCTAAGTCATTAGGCTTAGGTTGTTACGAACGATAATACAAAGATAGTTCTCAATTCGGGGGATGTAGTAGTGATTCTTATCTGAGGAAGTATGGAAACTGACTGCTGCAGCATTGTGATTTGACCGTACGTTTTAATGCATTCTCAATCGACTACTGATGTGCTACTTTGAGTGTGTGCTGCTAGTGAGCCTTCAGATTTCGTCACTTTAGTTAAGATTTTTGCGTCATCTATAATCGCTATTGTTTGTGGGGAAACATTTATGAAATAAGGGAGACCCATGGAAGAAAGCTTCACCTTGGTACAATACGCGCCTAACGAGGTGAGCTAAAGTGTACTTGAAAACTTGTTTTTTTATTTACACTGGTTTGTGGAATAATTATTTTATTATTCCAGGACATTTATGACAGCGTTGTGTAAAATATCACATATCAAACAGATCTAATGCGATCAGTCATTTCCCACTCACAATCTCGTTTGTGTACTGAGGTTTATCGATAAATCAGCTACTGTATTCAAAATCATATCAAAAGTGAAACTTTATTGACATTGTCGATTTGGGGAGTACGGCTTGTTGAATGCCGTTGAATGCTTGTTTGAATGCCGAAGTATTATGGATTGACTTGTCAGTAAATATTTTATTGCCGTTGTGAGTATAGGTTGTACCGAAAGATTATTACCTGAAGACAAGCACTTCGTTTTCCGTATTCAGTCAGCCAGTTTGTTTGATTGTCCAAAAGGTGTCCATCCTCAGTCTGTCACGTGTCTAGTGAACGAGTTAGCTGTCCTGAATCAAGAGTACGAATAGATCAATACGCGTGTCTGTGGCCAACTGGAGGGTTAATTCAATGAGAAAGCATATCCAGGGAAGGGTCATGTGCTCTTCGTGTGCGTGCACCACAAACACTGTGTACGTTTGATGGTGAATGAAAATTTGTGTACCGGGAAGGCATGATAACTAGTGCGGGATACTGATTTCCATTCTATTCGGAGACCCTGGAATAAAAATTGTAGTAGAGAGTTTTCATTCTCTGAGTCACATATTTAGATAAACAAAAACCACTAGATCACAGTAAATTCGCTGATCCAATCTTTGATTGATACAACGATCGATCAATTCAACATTTTATGATATCGCGGTAATTTTCATTGTGGGGACAGAATGAATGTGCCATCTCGTCTTCTGTTACATGGGATGAACAACCGGGTTCACGAGTAAATTTAATTCCGCGAATGGCAATCAAATCGCATTTCCAGTGACCCATACCTTATCATTCCTTTGCAGTTACCCTCTTCCGTTGCAGACACATGCAACAACTGTGTCACTAATCTGATTTTTCAATTATCTTATTGATCGTTTTATTTGTTTGCATTACATAAAACAATGGGCAGTCAATTATCAGGGAAAGTAGGCTGATCAGAGAAAAAACTCCTACAGGATATTATTATTATAAGGTGGTGCTGGACGAGAATAGTCGTTTGATAAGGATCACAGATGGGACATCGGGAATTTGGCATACATAACACAGAAAATCTCATTATAAACATGACATCGCAGTTCCTGGCTGTACGACGAGTAATGAATGTAGCAATCGATAGTTATTCTCCAAGATATAGCAATTTACCCTCGGTGGTCTTCTTAATTTTTGATAGTCGAAAGTATTCACCTACTATGTTACCTACTACTCACAAGTGAGTAATATCTCACAACACTATCAAGTGATAAATTTAGGTCATGGTGGACGTTGACCAGCAAACTTTGGGAGCGATTTGATTGGGACCTGCATAACCCAACTGCAATGGAAAAAGAGCTTCACGCTTTCGGATTCATTCGAGATTCACGGTGAAGTTCATCCCGAAAACTGGTTGTACTGAGACAGGTGGAGATTTTAAAAAATAAGCTGAAACATTCTGTTAATTTCAGTGTCCCGAAGCTTTTATGCAAACCAAGAAAGCAAACCTAATTGGTAAAGTGTGATGATCCGGGCCTACGGGATGACGCCTACCCTGGAGCCACGCGTTACAGTTTTTGGATACCTACTATCAATCAAATTTCAAAGGTGGCGTCAATGACGCGCGTACGCGTCACTGCTTCTGACTAAACACCATAGGCAGATCGTGCCAGCCAATCCGAAACAGTACATTCCGGACAGAAACAATACTGAAACGCGATTGGTAGAAGCTCGGAAAACCAATGAGCTTAATTTGTACATATTATTTAATCTTCTTTATTTCTTCCAATAAACGAACTACCATTCCTGTGGCCTTTTCCTCGCGTCTCAGTTACGTGGAATGTTGAATGCTAGTGCCATTGCGGTTTAGTGCTTATGTGATCCAGTCTGTGATTGCTAATCCTCGATTCGTATTCCGTGATTCGTATTTCGAGTTCAGTGCTTACTACTGCTACCATTACTATAATAACTACATAAAGTGATATCACACATGCCTTTCATACAACCGGACCCGGAATTTGAACTAGGGAGGACAACAGTTAAGCTCTGGTGTATTGGTCCGTGTGTGTACAGTTGACCGTAGATGAACTGAGCGTTGTTCATTAAATTGATCTGAAGTAGGGTCAGTGAGGAGTAATTAAAATCCGAAGGAGTTTGATGAGGCCGGTAGAGTGACTTGGTCGGAATTCCACGAGCCCATTCCCCTATCCAGATAAAAATAGTGACCGGAATTGATACGTTCTAAAGCATTCTAAGTTTGTCCTGGACCAGTCATCGCCCATGTCACTTTGTATAATGGTTTGTCCACTTTTAACCCTCAACTCCTATCTCTTGGGCTTCAAAGTTGGAAACACCTGCAACTTCGGCAATATGTTATCCTGACATTGGCAAATGTTCGATCGGGTTTCGAATGATCGTTGATTCTGATGATCTTCTATATCAGAAGTGATTGACATTCCACCACTGATATTAGCAGAAATCATAATTCAACAAATTGAATAAGTGTTAATTCAGCGAAATCCTGAACAGATATCAATGCGGATGACACGGAAAATAGTAGATAACCATCACTTCCTTCGACCCAGTACGATAATTGTTCCAAATCGACACTTTGATCGAATTTATTAAACGTACCATCAAATTACTATGGGACACATTCTGAGGAATTATCTCGATCGATCGATCGATCGATCGATCGTTTTGGTCCAACTAAATAAATTACCATTAGCGGTTATTAGAATGTGTGGTTTCGGCTCCCAAACCTAATTTTCACAGTTTCAGTGTGAGTAATGAAAGTAACCTAGTGTTCCCCTCCCTGCCCTTAGCCCGCTGATGAGTTTCAACGACGACAAATTATATTGATCCAGTGCTTATTGTGGTTGTCATTGAACAAATTCCATCACAAATAAAGTTCACAGTGGTGGTTACCATGGATTGCATTTTGTGACTCCGATGGCATAGTAATTAGATGACAGTTGACAATTAGCAGTAGAACCGTATTGAATCAGATCCAAAATGGGAATGGATTTTACAAAAGGAATTGTGTCAGGCTCATCGGATCAGATCTGTTTAGGAATATTTGGATTAATCAGACCGAGAAACAAAACTTTTGGTGACGTTGTTTCGACCCGATTGGAAGGCGTTTTTCAAGTCAATTGAACATTAGACGTAAATATAAGAGAAACCGTGTGAAAGGGACGAAGTTTTGTCTTTTGCCAGGAGAAGGGAAAGTTGTGTGTGTGCGTGCGTATGTGTGTATGTGATCAATTGGGAATGAACAAGAGGTTAAAGATCTACGGGTGGCTTCACAGATGATGGGACGTTACATAGTGTGTAGAGTTCCTTCGTGTGGAGTCACTTTGTGATGTGTTTGTTAGCATGGATGTGAGTGGATGGGTGGATGGCATACAGCCAGTGAACGGCTGACTGAGCTCCATCCAATCGACTGACGCAGTGTGCATGCAATGGTAGTAGTAGTAGTAGTAGTAGTAGTAGTAGTAGTAGTAGTAGTAGTAGTAGTAGTAGGTACTCACGGAATTCGGAACACGAACCACGCAATAGAAACCATAGAACACGAATCAAGGATCAGCTATCACGGACTAGATTACGGAAGCACTGGACCGCAATGGTACAAGCTTGCAATATCCCAAGTGACAGGGAAGCGAGGAAAAAGCCACAAGGCTGGCAACTGGTAGTTCATTTATTGAAAGAAATGAGGGTGAATAAATATACGTACAGAAAGAAGATCATTGGTTATCTGGGCTTCCACAAATCGTATTGCAGTACCGTTTGCATAATTCTGCTTCTGTCTGCACTGTCTCTGATTGGCTGGCACAACCTGCCTATGGTAGTGTGTAGTCAGAAGCAGTG